TTCAATCCATCAGGCGTGCGATGCCTGCGGTGTTCCCAGCTGGCCATGACAAATGGCACTCTCTAACAAGCTGCGCCTGACATGGTGCATCTGGCCTGGTGCCAAAATGCAGGGCTGATGCGAAGCTGAGTCATATATATATATATATACATACACTGGGGTGCCAAAAGTTGCGCTTCTTGATTTCTAAAACATCACAAACCCTTTCCCCTTAGAATCCTACGTGCAACATGTCGACACCTAAGTTGCGGTCAGATTTCCACACTGAAAGCCTTATAAGTATTACAATTGAATCGGGTGTGGAAATCTGACCGTGCTGTACCTGCCACACAAAATGGACGTGTTAATCCGATCCGCTGTAGACCGCAAGTGTCATGTTGGAACAGAGTAAGAAGCGTAAACCTTTAGGGTTCTTGAAGTATATAAAAAGAAAGAAATATATTTATATATAGGTATATTTAGTTTACGGCAACGTTGCCGATAACAGGTGAGGTGTTTGAACAGGGAGGTCCCACCAGGCACAAATTGGTGGAGTATGCAACGCGTTCTTTTCTGCAACGGTTGAGCCAACTCAGTCGGTCAACGCGCAGGAGACTGAAGAAAACGTTGACAAATTGAGGAAAATGATCCTTGGAGAAGACAGCGTTTACGGAGGGAGGATGAGTGCCAACAAACCAGTATCCAGCTCTGGGTACACTCCCTTTTTCATTGCGCTGAGAAGCAGCAAACACAAGTTTGCCAGCGCCATGATGTGCGACATTGATCCAGGGCACAGGGACAACCACAGACGCAACGCCTTGCACATTGTTTGCTGCATGACTTCCGGAAGCTTCGATGACTCCGCTGGCCCAGCGCTTGCTGTCCAGCTTTTGGAGAAGAAAGTTGATATCAAGGAAAGGGATGGCGATGGGGCAACACCCTTGCTCTTGGCGGCTGAGACGAACAGATGGGGCACCTGTTGGGCCCTTTTAGAACACATTAGGCGGACAATGGGCAAGGAGGAAGCCGAGGCAGTCTTGGCAATGAAGGATGACCACGACAAAACGGTTCACTCGTACCTCAATGATGCGGGAAGGAATCGACTGCAGGGAATTATTAGGTAATTACGGTTAGTTTTTGCATTCTTTTGCCTTTAGCTTTAAAAGATTTGCAAGCGCATGCCAACGATCATGCGCCTAGGACGCATGCCAAATATCGCGTGCCTTGAAGTACATAGTCTGCTGGCTTCAACGCTTAGGCAATGTCGTAGCGAGCATAACAGGCTCGCTTGCCAGAGATGCTGGCCACCTTTGGGTGTGCAATATAGCTTTTCCACTGGCCACCATTGCTTGACAGAGCTGCAGTCATGAACATGCGAGAAACAAAGTATCATTTCAAGCAGCGGCGATGGTTTTCTACTTGCTGACCTTGGTATTCCTGCCTGAATTGCAGTGCTGGCATTTGTTGGGCTGTTGTGTCCAGCATGATCCGATTTTGGTGAAACCTACTCGCAATGTCTTCTCATGAAGGTCTATTTTGCAACTTGCCTGTTTTGTGGCTGACAGCACTTTGTCAAACGGACTCAAGCCATCTAGCTAGTGCAACGAGGTTGTGGAACTTTGGTCCGGCGCTGCCCAAACTGGCTCCATTTGAGGCAACAGTTGCACCGTCAAGCAGATTCTACTGCCGGCTTGGCAGTGCGCTACTCATGACAGAAAGACAGAGGTCGAAGCAACTCGCGCAGCCTTTGTGCCAGGTTGTGGCCAAGTCAGCGTGCCCCCGGTCAATCCAGCATTTACGGCCACCTCCCACACAACCCTGTGGTAGGGTTAGGTAGGATCAAAGGTTTTGATCAGGACCATATGAGTGTCGTTCAAAAACCCACCTCTTCCTTGTTAGTAATCGAATTTCAAAGGCTGATTTCGAGTGTGCTCTCACTGCAGTCGCGAAAGGTTCGCGAAGGTCCTGCGAAAGGTCTGCGCAAGTCATGTTGGTGACCTGGCCACGCTGCTTTAAAAACAATTGCTCTTCTGACTTCCGATTGCTTTTTCCCGGGTTGGGAAAAAGCAAATTGGAAGTTTGAACCATTTTGCTTTTTCCCGGCCCGGGAAAAAGCAAATTGGAAGTCTTGACCAGCCCGGGAAAAAGCAAATTGAAAGTCTAAACCATTTTGCTTTTTCCCGGGCCAGGAAACAGCAAATTGGAAGTCTGAGTCAAATTTGGAAAAAGCAATTTGGTTCAGACTTCAACTTTTTCCTAAGGCCCCCAAAAATAAGCAATAAGCAGTTTGTATCAGATTTAAAACTAAAATCAAGGAGCTTTGGCCTAATGCAGAAGGCATCAGGATCAGAAGCAGAAGGTTGTGGGCTCGAATCTCCCCCGTTGCGAATTATTTCTCCCAGACTGGAGAAAGCCACTGGGAATCTGTGAGCCAAATGGCTTTTTCCCAGCCAGCAAATTGGAAGGCTGAGAGTTTTGCTTTTTTCCAGGCCGGGGAAAAAGCAAATTGGAAGTTTGAACCATCTTGCTTTTTCCCGGCCCGGGAAAAAGCAAATTCGCGGCCGGGAAAAAGCAAATTGGAAGTCTGAACCATTTTGCTTTTTCCGGGCCCGGGAAAAAGCAAATTGGAAGTCTCAACCATTTTGCTTTTTGC